TGTGTAACTGAAGACCTCCCTGCCTGCCACACCTGGCTATCAAGGAATTAATGAGTGGTGTGTAGAGCATTTGTTACTCGATGGGCCAACAGATATGTGAGTCCTGTTTCCAACTTGTTCATTTTAACCATCCTACTTTTGAAGGTCTTGGCCAGATGATTTTAAAAATCCCTCACATGCTGATTTAATCATGTATGACACCAATTCTTCCAACAGTCTTCCAAATTGGAAGAAATGAAACAGGATACGTTTGTTCACTGTTGGATAAGAAACTGATGAATTCCTGAACAAAGATTCCAAAAATGGGGTATTTTTAAAAATCAGATTTGTAAGTACAGTCCTAATATGACAGTGTCATCCCATACATTCTTTCTTTACTCACACTTTTTCTTGGTGCCTTCATTAGGAGTATGAATGTGAGAATGACAGTAAATTGTAAATTGGTGATAACTACATCATGAGTTACATCCGAAGATATAGTACCATGGAAGTCCCATCCCAGCTCCTAATCTCCCCATCATTGTGAATGGCCAGCACAGAACATTCTAACATAAGGTATCTCCCTTTGCAAAGGCAGCAACAAAAATCAAATAACACGTGGTCTAAGCATAGCCCATGTTTGCCTGAGATTACTCTCCAGAGACAAGACTTTGATTACAACAGAATACTCAATTTCATGAATTTTTTTTACTGTAGTCTTAACTTGGGTCTTGCCTCAAGAATACATACATTGAAAGATGCACTTTGGTACTGTGTAAATAAACAACACATCATCCCACTTGATTCCACGCCATTTTGTTGTGGCAGAAGCATCCCTGATGGGATATGCCCTGTTTGAGTCCTCTGTCTTTGTCAAAATGCTCTTTATGATGAGTTGGAGGGGGAACAGCCAGCAGTAGCAGTCCACAAGGATCCAGGTTCCCTCTCCAATTGTAGACAGCAGGTTGAATAAATTATAATCACTGGACCACCAGGGAGCCACAGCAGGTTGAATAAAACCAATAGACAATGCATTTCCTATTTTTAGGTGGGAGGGGAAAAGGCCCTTAGGGCAATTGTATTTGTACAGTTAAACAGCACAGCAGTTGCAAAAAGAAAACCCATTGGTTGGCATTTAAGATAATAATTTCCCCCCTTTGCATAATACCTACTCTGTTATTCCAACTTTAACTGCTCTGCTGGGAGCTCAGGGTTAGTGATGCCCAGTTTGATTCAGACTTGACTCTGAGGGACAGCTCTATTCCCATCTGGCATTATGGCTTGGTGGATGGGTGGTGCCAACCAGGGAGAAATCTGGCTGCCACCATGTTAATTTGGAACCAGGGTCAATAGCTATTCTTGAGCTCTAACAGCATGATATTTGAAGAGTGCATTGTCTGGGTCTCATTAAATGAAAGGAAAGAAAAATAAACAAGCCTTGACCTTGGCTTTTTCTGGTGTCTTAAGACACAGGAAAAGGTAGGGAGACAGCCTGGCCAGAGTTTGAGGTTGCCTCTCACTAAGAGTTACCACTTTCCAAGCCATTAAGAAAGCATTTACTCAACAAGGGGTGCCCCCTAGAAAGGAAAGGAAAAGAAAATACTGTAATACATAGAGCAGTCTGCACATTCAGTCTTGGCACTTTTCCTTGTCATCCAATATGACTAATCACTAAACTGATGACCTCCGCATATATCTAAGTCTCTTTTCTATAGAACAATTTTCTTCAGAAAGCTACAGTGGATAATAATTGTGCGAAGATGCATTTCTGGATCATCTTCAGAAGAAAATCAGTTCCGCTGCCTCTTTCCCTAGAACCTGTCCCCCACAGGCCTACTTTCTCATCACCACAAGAATTCATAACCAGCTATGCTAGAGCTAAAGACCTGGCCAAAAGATCACTCTGTGGGTTGATGGGCTAAAAAAGATCTAAGACCCTAAGGAACTTCTGATTTTGAAAGACAAATGAAGGGCTGGTTAGCTTTTAACCCTTAGTAATTAAAATGACAATCATCCCAATCAAAACATATTACTTCCCAAGATTCCCCATTTACATTACTCAATACACTGTGGGGAAAGTTTTCCCTACCTAGTGTGTATTCAGGAGATATAGGAACATTTTCATTTTAACTGAAAACATCAAAACAAAAAAACTATTATAAAACTTTCCACATCATTGGAGTATCCTCCTCATTCCTGAATTGTGTGTGCAGAGACATCTGTGTGTAATTTTAAGGGTTATTTATTCAGGTCCTAGAAAACTGGAGGATAAAATAGTATACAGGGCACTGAATCCTCATTTGTTAAAGAAAAAAGGGGGTGGGGGGCTTTAACTTGATTTGCATGCCTACTCCAACCACATTTTAGAATTATGATCCACCCCACCCCCACCCCCGCGCTCTCCTGCTGTCCCTCCACTTTAGTGAGAAGCCAGGTAGGAAAAAAAAGAATCCCAAGTTGCCACCAGTTCTTGATGAGAGGTTGGGCTGGGAAGACATTAGGATGTTACTGAAGCGAGGGGTGGGCCACTTTTGACCATATCAGTGATCCACAACCTGCCTCATTTCTTGGCTCCTGAGCTAAAAGCTACTAATGAAGAGAGGCCATTGTTCTGTAATCACAACAAAGATGATTCATTCTCCCCTGGTAAAATTACTTAGGAAATGGAAAGTAGTGTTACAATCAAATTCATGAATCTGACGATCTCTAAAAGTTCAAGGCAGCCTGCTGGGTGCTGAACATCCTAATGAGACCTTTGAAGAGCACTGCTATTAAAAAAAAGAAAAAAAAAAAAAAAGAGCCTTTCATAAGACCATTAACATAGTCTCCAGCCACACACACATTCAAATACATTCCACTGGACATTGAACTCCTCAAGAGCAGAGACTATCCATCATTGTATTTCCAGCACAGGGTTGGCACAAGTTTAAGAGTTCCGGAAGCATCTGTCAAATGAGCAGAAAGGATGAAGAGCACAGCCTTCACCAGACTAGCATAATGGCAGCTTCCCATTTAGGCAATTTGCCAGTTTATAATAAGACAACAATTAATTAAGCAGCTTTTAACCTCCCAGAGGCATTTTTTCCTTTAGGTAAAAAAGAATAGAAACCTACAAGGCATTATTTATGATTAATTCTTCCTCCAGGCAAAAATTTAAAAATTAAAAATTGTAAAAATAAAGGAAGCCACTTAGGAAAGGTTTCCTGGGCAAGCCTCAGCTAAGACTTACCAGTTTTCAAAAAGAAAGAATAAAAGGAAAGGGGCCACAGGCTGGGTACGTAATCCTTTGATCTGTTACCAACCCAACAGACCCAGATGACTTCTACTTGATACAATCAATGGTTGTAGAACATGTTCCCAGTCTTTCCTTCTCTGCAGAAACAGGCTGAGAGCCCTCTTCTGAGGGGGCCACATTTCTTGGATTTCCCGTCAGAATGACACCTACTCTCCCACCTCTCATAACTTACCCTTAATAAGAAAAAACAGAAAGCCTATATATACACAGGAACACATTGGTAGGATGTGGGAAATCTGTATGAGTTGGACTTCAATAGTAAGAACATATGTTTTCTGAAATACTATGTGTCTCATTCAAGTTCATTGCCCGATCATTCTATTCTCCTTCTTTGTCTTTTTCTCTCACTTCTGTTCCCCAAAGAATTCATGTCAACAACTCTATTTGTGACCAACTTCATAGGCAATAAGAAATGAAATTTTTTTCAGAAAAAGTGTTCAGATTTTAGTTTAAGTATGTGAAGCATCTTAAAATACAGATAATACCTTAGTGGTTTTTTTTTTCCTCTTCCAAAGCCAAGCAGATGAAAAATTAATAAGTCTCTTCCTTCCTTAACCTAACCTGCTATGCCTACATTTAAAGGACTACTGTTCAGCAGAAGTGTACAAGGCAGCTGTCATACCATCCTTGGCATCACAGTAGGTGCACGGGGGTGGTCAGAAACTGGGACTGGAATATCCGCCTAACAAGAAATAGCTTTTTACTCTTCATCTGAAGTCTAAACTTGTTGCTACTGCTATGCAAGTTCTTAAAATCAAAATATTAACTTGGGGAAATATTTAAAATATATATTTTTCATCTATTAAAAATATTTATCTTTTTTACCAAAAACAAAAATCAATTCAAACTGAAAATGTTTTTCAAATTATTGGTGCTATAGAAAAAGGTGGGAAGTGGAAAAATAAGTATCTTCACCACTACCAATAAGACTAGCCTTTCCAATAATATTTATGAAGATCAAAGAGGAAATACATCAAATGGCAGTAACTGAAAAGTTTTCTCTATGGGCATTTAGTAAGGTCACCGTCCCTGTCCTCTGCAGACCAGTGCCAGCTCTTTTATTTTGGGCACTAATTAAACAAGTTACACAGGACCTAGAATTGAAAGGGTGTGAATATAAAGTCACGAGATTGATGTATGTTTTTTAAACATACATCTGCACATGTGCGTACATGCAGAATACATACATTCAGGTGAGATGCTCCCCACCAGAGTTGTCACTGAAGAGGTCCCATATATCTCAGTAATGACCATAATGCTTCAGTCATCTCTGGAATTTCTCTTTGGGAACTATTTGGGAACTGTGAGCTGCACAAGAAAATGGCTCTGTTTTTCAGTGGTACCTCATTTATGACTCCAAACCCTATTCATAAATTTTCTTTCCCAGAGGCTTCAAATAGCTTCTGGCTAGTTTCAAACTTAAAATTCTCTTTCCTGTAACTCCAAAAGATTTAGGATCTGTCCTGAGAAGAAAGTACTATAAATTACTTCCTTCAACAGTGAGTCTGATCTGGACCCCATCTTTTGCCTTAGTAGAAGGAGGCTGGAATACATGATCATTAAGGTGCCTTCCAGTTCTTACATTTTGGGAGTGAATCTATGTCTCTAGAAATTTCTAGACTTTGAAGACAGTTTTCAGAAATGTTTCACCAAAGACAACATCATTGGAAAAATTATGCATATGCTGTGGGGGCTAGTCAAAGGAGATATCATATATGGGAATATATAAGCTCTGGAAGGTTTGTTAAAATGCCAGTCATGTGACTATAGTAACAGCTCATACATACACAGGGAATGCCAGCCCATCTGAGATTCCCTAAAATTTTCTTTATCTCTATTCTCAATGAGCCCAGATGGGCAGAAGCACCAAGCACCACCAGGGATGCAAAAGACACATGGTGTCAGCTGCTAAGGAAAATAAACCCCAAAGGTCCATGGGACTGAATTTACCAGCTGAATCCAGCTAGATACCTTGTTTCCACAGTATGGAGTTTCAGCATCATTCTTTACCTGACTTCAGGGAATTTAGGATTTTAGATCAACATTGCAGATAATCACTGGCCATGAGGAAAGTGTTAATGAAGCCTCACTACAGTTGGTCTCACGGGCTGGAACCCCTATGAAAACACAACATGTAAACCGAGGGAAGGAGAGGAAATGGCACATCCTGTCAACTTAATTACTTGCATATGGATTTTTCAATGCTCAATGCGCAGCCTGCTTTTCTTAGGTGCCCCTGGATTGCAGTCTATTTGGACAACCTGTTAGTATAGAATACCCATGAGACTTGTGGTCAGTCTGGGCAATGCCACTTAGTTGTTGAGAGAATATGAACATCTGCACTTCAGTTTCATTATCTGAAAAAAAGGTACCACTTATGAGTTAGGTCTCTTAGAAAGACCAAATTAAGCTGTTTGGAAATGTCAACCATGCAGCATTAATCACATTATTTTTTTAAAAAGAGAACGTAAATTAACTTTTGTAGAAGCACATGCTCAACTGATTTAGGTAGGTAAAGGTACTTGTGGCAAAAGCAAAGAGAAAGAGGGATATAGCAATATCATTTTAGGTCTTCCAAAGTACTACACTGCTCCACTTCTTTGAAAGACATGGAATTAATTTTTATCTGCAAGATTGATTTAAAACAACACCCTGTTGAAAGAAGTCAGGAGGTCTATCAGCTTGAGAAGGTATCTCCTCTTTCCTCTACCATTTCTAACTGTGTCAATTATGCTCCTAAATGAGGCCATTCCAAATCTCACTCCAAGTGGGTGCTGTTAGATTTGGCCCAGAAGCCCTCAGAGGTGGTCACTTCAATGGGGATGATTTGGCGGTGAGGAGTGCTTCTGGTCTGAGTCCCAGAGAAACAGACACAGTTCCCTTGTACTTTGACTACCAAGGCCCTGAACCCTCTCAGAACCATATTAGACAGTGTTTTGCCATAAAAGAAACCCAAATGAGAACACTCAGCTCTTCTGGATAAATGATCAAGGTCAAAGACCTCTTAAAAATAGGTAACACTGTTCATTAAGTGCTACTTGGCCCCAGCCATGCTGCTGGACCGTAGGAGATACTGATCCACGCTTCCTTTTCGACGACTCACAGTCCGCCTCTCACTGTCAAACATGCGTTGCAACTGCAGAGCCAGCTGTCGGTCCTCTTCCTCCTGCTGTAATTTCTGCTCCATCTCTCGCAGTGCTGGGTCTGTTGGGGCCAGACCCACCTCACTGCTGGTTTGTCGCAGTTTCTTAAGGGAGCCATTTTGTTCCAAGTGTTTGGTCTTACAGCGTCTTTTTCGACCTCGCCGCAAGGAAGGAAGTGGCTCTTCACCCAGGCTGTCTACCAGAACACCATTAGCCAGATCAAAATGATTTAATGTCTTCAGCTGTTTCTTTGTTTTGAGGACTCCACCCAAAACATTGTTTTTGGGTAGCAATGAATTAACTGTTGAGATTTTCACGGCTGTGCTTATGTAAGTTTTGTCTAACCTGGTATCTGGGATTGACCCTGACCCCTCAAACTGTTCCCCCTCCAAAGTCCCACTGGCTCCCCCTTTGAGTTCCAGTGGGATCTCAGTGCTCCTTTTACCATCACTGTCCTCTTCAGCTTTTGTTTGGCTAACTGAGGGGAAATACTCAAGGTCAGTGGGAGTGGGTCCAGTCTCCTCAGAGAGTACCTGCCTACTGCGGAGTCTTGTATTTGAATCCAGAAGTGGCTTTTCCTTGCTAGAATGGATAATTTCAGAACTTAGTAAGTCTTCGCCTGTTTCAGATGCCAGGGAAGTTAGAGTGGCCTTTGAAAGGGTCTTTTTAATCTGCCGCTCTTGAAAGATCTGTTCCCACTTTTTGAGGATCCGGGGACTAGCCTCATAAGAAGTCTGCTTCTGCAGGCTTCTGTTTAGGTTGCGAGGTGTTGACTTGATGATGAGGGGACTTAGCACACGGCCATCAGGGAGTCTCTTAGGAGGAGTACATGGTGAGCAAACAATGGGCTTGAAATGGTTCAGTTCTTCAGAGATGCTGTCATTGCTCTCAGGACTGATAGAGCGCTCTGGCTTATGTAGGGAAGCCAAGGAAGAGAGGGAGCTGAAGGGCAGACGCTTTTCGATGGTTAAGTCAGGGGCTGAGAGACAGCGGTTATTTTGAGTGGACAAGAGGACACCAATGATGGGGTTGGAGGCTGGAGTCATAGTTGTGACCTGAAAAATATTTTAAAAATTACATAGACATGTATTTTTTTTTCCACATAATTTCTTCAGGACAGCAGAGAATAGGGACAGAGAAGGAAATAAAAAGAAAAGCAAGGAAGAGTGATGTGAGACCAAGAAAAGGAAAGAGTCTCAATCTGAAGTGCATTCTATTTAGCAGAAACTTCTATGCACTTGGATCAAATAATAACATTAAAAATCTGAAGTAAAGAAACATCTAGAGCTTTTAAAATGCTTCCCTAATGGTTCTGATATCACTCATGTGGCTATTAATTGAAACCTTCTTTCACATCTGTGTGTAGAAGTTTCCAACATAACTAATATGCCTGGGACCCATTCCCCATTCTGCCTCTTCTCATAGAAATTGTTTCTTCCACATGCAGAAGATGCTACAGAGAAGGACTAGAGAGCCTCAACAGCCTGTGGCTGTGATTGTACCTTGGCTTTGATGGTTGGAGCTGCTCTGAGTCTGTTCTTCACTCTGTCCTGAGCTGTGTCACTGCAGCTCTGACTCCTCTGCACCTTGGAGTTTAGCTTCCTAAGAAAATAAAGAAAAGACAAAAAGTGAAAATTAGTTCACACTAGTTTAGGAAAAAGATGACAATCTCTTTTGTGCATTCTAAACCACTCACCAAGAAAGACAAATCTCTTGGGCAGCTACAATAGAAAATGAGTTAATTTATTAACAAAACACATTCCAAGAACAAACCTTCAATAGACGAATGGATAAAAAAAAGTGGCATTTATACACAATGGAGTATTACTCTGCATTAAAAAACGATAAAATCATAGAATTTGCAGGGAAATGGATGGCATTAGAGCAGATTATGCTAAGTGAAGCTAGCCAATCCCTAAAAAACAAATGCCAAATGTCTTCTTTGATATAAGGAGAGTAACTAAGAACAGAGTAGGGAGGAAGAGCATGAGAAGAAGATTAACATTAAACAGGGATGAGAGGTGGGAGGGAAAGGGAGAGAGAAGGGAAATTGCATGGAAATGGAAGGAGACCCTCAGGGTTATACAAAAGTACATACAAGAGGAAGTGAGGGAAAAAAAAAACAAGGGGGAGAAATGAATTACAGTAGATGGGGTAGAGAGAGAAGAGGGGAGGGGAGGGAAGGGGGGATAGTAGAGGATAGGAAAGGCAGCAGAATACAACAGACACTAGTATGGCAATATGTAAATCAATGGATGTGTAACCGATGTGATTCTGCAATCTGTATACGGGGTAAAAATGGGAGTTCATAACCCACTTGAATCAAAGTGTGAAATATGATATGCCAAGAACTATGTAATGTTTTGAACAACCAACAATAAAAATTAAAAAAAAAAAAGAACAAACCTATCAAAAGAGAAGGAATGCTCCAGAGAGTACATCTTGTTCAAGCTTTTGTTTCCAAATTAGACCCTGCCTAAATGAGGCAAGACCAATGGCTATTTTAGAGACATGTAGGGATACTTTCCTTAACATGCTGCATTCAGCATTAAACCATCTTTACAAAGTTTCTTTTTATTAGACCCAAACCCCTTGTCAAGCAATCTAAATCAGCCATGAAATAAATATTGAAACACTTATAAAAATGCAGAGCAGCACACTGTATTTTTATGTAGGGAGTCAAAATTAAATGTAGTCCCTCCCTTAACCCTTTTACATTGAGTTTTCTAGTGACTTAAGAGACTTCAAGAACACATGATTTTCTTTCTTATTTCCTTCCTTCCTTCCTCTCTTTTTTGTAGCGTTAGGGACTGAACCCCACAGCCTCACACATGTTAGGCAAGGGCTCTCTACGACTGAGCTACATCTCCGGCACTTTTTTGTTTGTTTGTTTTTAAATTCTGAGACAGTCTCTCTAAATCGCCCAGATAGGCTCTCAGATTTGCAATTCTCCTGCCTCAGCTTCCAGTGTAGCTGCAATTACAGGTGTGTACCACCACACCTGGCTAAGAACGGATAATTATTCTCTTATATATTACATCATGACTTTACAATACAAATCAAACTCCACAGTACCTGTATTGAATACTGAAGTCTACAACACTAAATTTTGTATATAGTGTGAGAGTGGGGTCTACCTTCATACCCAGCACTATATATGAATTTTACTCTTAGAATCACTTTTAAATAACTGTCACCTGCCCCACAGACTATAATTGCTTACCTTCTCCAACTCCTCCCTAATATGTCTGCTCATCAAGCTTTTGTCATATACTTACTATATGCCAGGCACTGATGAGCACTATCCAGGCACTGGGAATGCAGAAAATAACAAGTCACAGTCTAAAACTTCAAAGAATCAAAGTTCAGTGGGGCAGATGATTAAATAAGGGAATACAATACAGTAAATGGGCACACACAGAGAAAAAGTATGCTTGAGGGGCAGAAATGGCATAAAAGAGAGGGTTACTAATAACCTATGATGGAGTAAGAACAAAGTTGGAAAAGCCTTTCTGTAGCATGTGCATTCTGTTGGACAAGTGTTTGCTGTAAGTCAAGAGATGATCCCAAAACACAAATTGTCTCCTCAAGTGACTCTATTCAGCTTTGGAATGAATTGCATCTTATGTAGCAAAATATCTGCTTTTAAATTTTTACTATGTCAGGATTAGCTCAGGAAAAAACTTATGAAGGAAGTTAAGGAATAACTCTATATAGAGTTCCTCTCCTCTCTTGCATCTCTAGTCAAAGTCAGCTATACCTACCCACAATGGCTTCTATTCCAACATTTCTGTGATGTTCCTTCCATTCAAAATTCTCCCAACCTATGTTTCATGGCCACATGATATTGTCAAGAGAAAGGGAGGGCCATGCATCACCAAGTTCAACACTTAACCCAACCCAAATGACTAATATGAAAATTGTACTACTAATGGGAGGTACATTTGAAGCAGATGGAAAATTTCAATGTCATCCTATGAAGGCAGCTGCTTAGAAGTCAGCCTGATAGGTATTTCACTTAGAAAAATATTAAAATTCATTTGCATTCCTAGAAGTCACACTAACTGCCAGCTGTGTAAGCAACGAAGAAGTAAACTGGATGACATATTAAAATACTATGGTGAATTGTATATTTCTGGTCAGGAGAAAGGGATATAGAGCTTGAGACAGGCAGCATTATTTTAAACATATGAGTTTTTGGTGTAAATCCCATGGAAAATCACACAATATGAGGAAGAGATTTTCTTATCAATGTAAGAAATATCTTTGTAATTTTTATAATCAGACTGACTGCTGTCCCAGCAGATACTGGGCTTGACTCCATCAAAAAGATGTTCCAGCTGAGGATGGACCTAACCTAAAGTTTCAAATACTCTATAATTAAGAACTAAATTAATATAATTTTTAAGAACTTAATATAATTTATGAGTCTATCTTGTCAAAGGTAAGAAGGTAAAAGCCACTGGTTCCATGTCCAAGCTATTGGGTACACAAATGACAACTAACAGTAGCTGGGAGAACCTGTTCACATACTTCCTAAACTTCACTATGGTGAAAGAAAAGGCCCAAACTCACACTTATAGTGACCAAGCACACACTGAGGACACCCAAAGAGTTTCAAAAATCTTTTTGGTAAACCTTAGTACAGCATACATTATCACTGTCTCTTCCATTCATTTGGTTAACACACTTTACAGAGCACCAATTCTATACAAAAAAATAGAGGTTGATGAGAAGATAATCTTGACCCAGAGGAGCATGGAATCACTGAAATCTACTACACTATAAGAGCTACAAAAAAGACACAGATAATACATACAGCTAACCTCTCCAGGTATTTTCTCTTCAGAGTTTTATCGAGTTTTAGCTCTTATATTTAGGTCTTTGATCTATCTTGAATTCCTTTTTGTCTATGGTGCAAGGTTGTAGTCCAATTTCATTCTTTTGAATGTTGATATCCAGTTGTCCCAGCACCATATGTGAAAAGACTATTTCTATCCCCCAATGAATGGTCTTGCCACCCTTGCTGAAAATCAATTGACCATAAATATATAATTTATTTACAGACTCAATTTGATTCCATTAATCTATATGTCTACCCTTATTCTAGTATCACACTGTTTTGACTGTTACCACTTTGCAGTAAATTGTGAAATAAAATAGTATGAGTCTTCCACCTTTTTCAAGATCACTTTGCATATTTGGGATCCATGCAAATTTCATACATAAATTTAAGTATTAGTTTACTGATTTCTGAAAAAAAAAAAAAAGCCCATCAGAATTTTAATACACATCACATTGAATCTGTAAAACGTTTTGGGGAGTGCTGCCATCTTGAAAGAATTAAATATACCAATCCATGAACACTGGAGGTCTTTCCCTTCATTTACATCTTACATTCTTTCAACAATGTCTTGTAGTTTTTAATGTTCAAGTCTTGCAACTCCATGGTTAAGCTTATTTGCAAACATTCTACTTTTTTGATACTAAAAATTATATTTTTAATTACAATTTTGGATTGTTCACTGCTAGTGTATAGAAATGCAACTGAGTTTTCTGTGATGCATCCAAGGAACAGGGCCAAATCACAGACCGAAACCTCTGAAACCATAGCACACCCCTATAATCCCAGTAACTCAGAGGCTGAGGAACAAGGATCGCAAATTCAAGGCTAGCCTCAGCAACTTAGCAAGACCCTGCCTCAAAATTAAAAACTAAACAAAGGGGTTAGGGATGTAGCTCCAGAGTAGAGTATCTCTGGGCTCAATCCTCCAGTGGAAGGAAGGATGGACAGAGAGACTGAAGGAAAGAAGGAAGGAAGAGAGAGGTAGAGGTAAGGGGGAGAGAATGAGAAAAGAAGGGGGTAGTGGGGAGGAAAGAAATCTCTGAACCTCTGAAACTATGAGCTCAATAAACCTTTCCTCCTTATATCTCTGCCTCTTAATTGGTGAAGTTATTCAATTTACATTTAACACAATTACTGATAAGGAAGGGCTTCTCCCATTCTGTTATTTTGCATTTTTCTTTTTGTGTTGTGGACCTAACTCAGGGCCTTATACGTACTGGGCAAGTCCTAGCCAATCCCTCATGTCTGTTTGCTATTATACTTTTTTGTTCCTGAATTCCTCCATTAGTGCCTTCTTTTTTGTTAGATTATTTCCTAATGTACCATTTTGATTCTTTTATTACAAATGCTTTTATATTTTCTTGGGAACTATAATTAACATCTTAATTTATAACAATCTATCTTGAATACTAACTTGGTTTCAATAGTACACAAAAACTTTGCTCCTACAGAACTATGCCTTCTTCATGTTATTATTGCCACCAACTTATAAACTGTACCTATCAACACTATAATCACTATTTATGCACATGCAGTTGTCTCCCCGCCCCCCCAGTTCAAATTTACGATAGTACAAAAGATCATTGGGTTGATGCCCCACTACATGAACATCCTACACATCAGATGGCTTGCTCCACAACACAGCTCAAGCTATTCCCACCAATGGAAAAAAATCTGGCCTCCCAATCCCTGTAGGAAAGGCATGTTTTGTTCCCCACTGCATCTTGTGTTTTAAACATGAACAAAGTACAAAAGG